AAAAAAAAGAAGTCATATTTTGTAAACTTTTATTATTTCAATTGTTATCACAATTAAAATGATCGTTAAAAGTAAAACTGTTGGCCATTTATTATTCTGATAAAATTCTGCGGACTACTTTTGTTAGCGGAACATGCTCTCAAATTAGTATATGTGATGCGTCCTTTCTCGTCGTCATTGCATATAGAGACGTTAGTATTGAAACCACTTATGTAGGTAGGTTTCTCGAATTATATAATAAATAGAATCTAACACTCGTGTTCATGTTATATTGAATTTATTGAACTCGTATATTAATTTCATATGAAACTCGCCAAAGGCTCGTTTCATATGAAATTAATATACTCGTTCAATAAATTCAATATAACATGAACACTCGTGCTAGATCCTCTATATATGGCATTCAACTAGCGTATATTTTTCCGCCCCGCGTTACTCTTTGTTTCTTGTAAGTTCAAATTTGGAAATTTCAATAAGTTACACACAACCAATCAATGTCTTTTAATTGAATATTCAGGAAATTATAAAAAAAATGTTTTAGGTTGTGAATAAGCAGATGAAGCATGTCTGACATGGCCTAGAAGGTATTGAGTCGAATGTTTGTTATTTACTTTTTCACAGATTTACATTATTGATAGAATTCAAAACAACGTCCACGACAGGAGTTTTGTTTTATGCCTCGGATTCGCGACACCGAGACTTTGTAGGTGTGTACATGCTGAATGGTAAAATCGGAGCAGCGTTTAATTGCGGTACAGGGACGGGACGGATACTGTCCTTCAGGGCTTATAACGACGGACAATGGCATACCGTGAGTATCGCTGGAATTTCTTACACTTTCTGTTTCTCACAAGATGTGTCATATTACATTAAATGTGTTTTAACTAGCACGTCCTTAATTCCAAACATCATCAACAATCTGTAGCTTACTGGTATGTATAAATATTATACCTTGTAGCTTACTGGTATTGTATAAATATTATACCTTGTAGCTTACTGGTATGTATAATTATTATACCTTGTAGCTTACTGGTATGTATAAATATTATACCTTGTAGCTTACGGTATTGTATAAATATTATACCTTGTAGCTTACTGGTATGTATAAATATTATACCTTGTAGCTTAC